TAAATATTTACGTATGTGTTAATAAATACATATATGTATATGCATGCATGCATATATATATATATATATATATATATATATATATATATATATATATATATATGTGTGTGTGTGTGTGTGTGTGTGTGTATGTATATATATACTGTTGCATATAGTTTTTGTATAAATATGATATGCATAATTATATATATATATATATATACATATATATATATATGTATATATATATGTATATATATATATATATTCATATATAAATGTGTGTATATATTCATACGTGTGTGTATGTATATTTGTGTGCATATTTATACATAAGAGTATATACATATACACGAGTATAAGTATTGTATATTAATATATGTGTGATGCTAATAATAATATTAATGCTAATAATAATAATAATAATGTTAATGCTAATAATGATAATAATATTAATGCTAATAATAATAATAATATTAATGCTAATAATAATAATAAAAATAATAATAATGCTAATAATAATAATATTAATGCTAATAGTAATAATATTAAAGCTAATAATAATAATAATAATGCTAATAATAATATTATTAATGCTAATAATAATAATATTAATACTAATACTAATAATATTAATGCTAATGATAATAATATTAATGCTAATAATAATAATATTAATGCTAATAATAGTAATATTTATGCTAATAATAATAATATTAATGCTAATAATAATGATATTAATGCTAATAATTATAACATTAATGCTAATGATAATAATATTAATGCTAATAATAATAATATTAATGCTAATAATAATAATATTAATGCTAATAATAATATTAATGCTATATAATAATAATGCTAATAATAATAATATTAATGCTAATAATAATAATATTAATGTTAATAATAATAATATTAATGTTAATAATACTAATATTAATGCTAATAATACTAATAATATTAATGCTAATAATAATAATATTAATTCTAATAATAATAATATTAATGCTAATAATAATAATATTAATGCTAATAATAATAATATTACTGCTAATAATATTATTAATACTACTAATAATAATATTACTGCTAGTAATAATAATATAAATGCTAATAATAATAATAATGATAATACTGCTAATAATAATAATAATAATGATAATACTGCTAATAATAATAATAATAATAATGATAATAATGGTAAAAATATTCCGAATATTTGATAATAATGGTAAAAATATTCCGAATATTTGATAATAATGAGTGATAGTAATATAAATGATATTATAATGTTTGATAATATATGATAATAATAATATCAATTATAATATGAGTTCTAATAATTATATTCATGATAATATTAATGATCGTATCCATACATAAAGATATGGGTGTTCATCAAGATAAGCCTAGTATTTACTGAAATAAATTGATTAATAACAAATATATTTCTTTAAACTTCTGTACCACATTGTGCTAAGCACAAGTTGGGGCACATAAAGAAATATCGAATTATTTTGTTTCCATATACTTTTATTTTACAAAATGATTTTGATCTTATATTTCTCTGATCTACCTTTGTTTATTTTTTCCAGTTTTATCATTCACTGCTACATATGTCCGTCTGTGCGTAGGAATAGCGACTACCTTTCGGCGTCCCCACGTTATACCGCTTAAAAAGCTTTCAGTCCTAGGAAAACATCACATTGCAAGTGTCAGTACATTCAGAACGACATAGTCTTGAAACACAACGAAACGTAATTACAGAAATATGAAACTTGCACTCTTTTCCGTGGTGGTGTTCTTGGCAGCAGCTGCGAGGGTGGAAGGCCAGGCTCTGGACGTGGATCGGCGAATCGTGGCAGCCGAGCTGGACTCTCCTCGCAAGGTGGAGTATTACGCGTCGTGCGCCTCCGGCCAGGGAAGCTGCGATACAAGAGGCCTTCAGCTGCGCACATACATTCCCATTGTCGCAAGAGGCCAAAGGTGCTTCAGGTGTTCGCCGCGAGAGAACAGGAACCTTCGCCTGATGGTCTCCACTCTGCAACGTCGCTATCCTCGCTGTTGGCAGATCCTTGTGCTGGCGGCGCAGGACCTGCCCACTCCTTCGGCTCGCGGATGCGCTAGCTAAATGTAGGATTCTCCGAGTCCTGCCTGAGTAGCAGTAAAATATTTCCTTATTCGCAAGGGAAAGTGTGACATGCTATCATTCATATAGTTAGAAAAACGAAGTTGAATAAAACTCAAGCAATAAAACTATTTGTTTTCTGTTACATGAATACCGATTCTACATAAACCAACGAAATTATATGAATTCCAATTATGTCATTATTCATATGCAATGTCATAGTAGATACGTATATTATGTGTGTGAATATATATATATATATATATATATATATATATATATATATATATATATATATATATATATATACAGGCTACCAAAGCTAGCTAAATATGTCCTAATAAAATTGGCTATGTTAACACTGTTTTTACATATTAGAAAATATATAAAATTACAATTCGGATGTGAGAGGAAAATAGACAGGAATTACACATAAGAATACATTTATAGCTTATCGTAATCATTTACACGCTATCATGCATGTTTTAACTGTAATACTTAAAGTAACAGGAAGCGATGAGATAATGACAATACCGATTTAGTACAAAAATGTCTATAACAATGTAAATGTTGTTAGGAATGAATGGCACTACTGTTTGTAACAGTGGCAATGGTAATAATACTTGTAATGATGCATCAATAATCGTTTAAATGTAGTTAATAGCAGTAGACAATAATATACCTTATTTATTAAGGGACTATTAATTTTCAAAAAATAAACAGGAGAGGAGTACTAGTGACTATTATGACTACTAAAATGTCAAAGAGCTAACGAACTTCATTCATCCTGTGGCACAGAAAACAGTTACCTATTATAATTGTTCTTTCCGATGGTGTCTTAATAGCTAACACATATGAGGACCTGCACTATCTTTTTTTCAAAATCAAATGATATTGTCCATGATTCGGCCTGAGTCATAATTTCCGTCTCACCTTGTTTGCCAGGATGGCTCTATCCATATGAAAATTTCGAGTGTTCAGACGCAAGTGGTGTGTGGTTCAGTAAGTAGTATTTTGAAATATTTATCGATCGATCATCAGTGGCCTTTCTGGGGTAATTAGTTATAATTTTCTCATCGTCATCAAAAAGGTATATAGCATTGCATACATATGCCTCCATGAATATTTACGTGTGTTAATAAATACATATATGTATATGCATGCATATATATATATATATATATATATATATATATATATATAATATATATATATGTATATATATACTGTTGCATATAGTTTTTGTATAAATATGATATGCATAATTATATATATATATACACACACATATATATATATATATATATATATATATATATATATATATATATATATTCATATATAAATGTGTGTATATATTCATACGTGTGTGTATGTATATTTGTGTGCATATATATACATAAGAGTATATACATATACACGAGTATAAGTATTGTATATTAATATATGTGTGATGCTAATAATAATATTAATGCTAATGATAATAATAATAATGTTAATGCTAATAATAATAATAATATTAATGCTAATAATGATAATAAAAATAATAATAATGCTAATAATAATAATATTAATGCTAATAATAATAATATTAAAGCTAATAATAATAATATTAATGCTAATAATAATGATATTAATGCTAATAATAATAATATTAATGCTAATAATAATAATATTAAAGCTAATAATAATAATCTAATAATAATATTATTAATAATAATAATATATTAATAAATAATAATAATATTAATGCTAACTAATAATATAATATTAAATAATAGTAATATTAATGCTAACAATAATAATATTAATGCTAATAATAATGATATTTATGCTAATAATAATAATAATATTAATGCTAATGGTAATATTATTAATGCTAATAATAATAATATTAATGCTAATAATAATAATATTAATGCTAATAATAATAATAATAATAATAATGCTAATAATAATAATATTAATGGTAATAATAATAATATTAATGGTAATAATAATAATATTAATGGTAATAATAATAATATTAATGGTAATAATACTAATATTAATGGTAATAATACTAATATTAAATATATACTAATAATAATGCTAAATAATAATATTAATTCTAATAATAATAATATTAATATAATAATATATAATGCTAATAATAATAATATTAATGCTAATAATAATAATATTACTGCTAATAATATTATTAATACTATTAATAATAACATTACTGCTAGTAATAATAATATAAATGCTAATAATAACAATAATGATAATAATGCTAATAATAATAATAATAATGATAATAATGGTAAAAATATTCCGAATATTTGATAATAATGAGTGATAATAATATAAATGATATTATAATGTTTGATAATAATATAAATGATATTATAATGTTTGATAATATATGATAATGATATTGGTGATAATAATAATATCAATTATAATATCAGTTCTAATGATTATATTCATGATAATATTAATGATCGTATCCATACATAAAGATATGGGTGTTCATCAAGATAAGCCTAGTATTTACTGAAATAAATTGATTAATAACAAATATATTCCTTTAAATTTCTGTACCACATTGTGCTAAGCACAAGTTGGGGCACATAAAGAAATATCGAATTATTTTGTTTCCATATACTTTTATTTTACAAAATGATTTTGATCTTATATTTCTCTGATCTACCTTTGCTTATTTTTTCCAGTTTTATCATTCACTGCTACATATGTCCGTCTGTGCGTAGGAATAGCGACTACCTTTCGGCGTCCCCACGTTATACCGCTTAAAAAGCTTTCAGTCCTAGGAAAACATCACATTGCAAGTGTCAGTACATTCAGAACGACATAGTCTTGAAACACAACGAAACGTAATTACAGAAATATGAAACTTGCACTCTTTTCCGTGGTGGTGTTCTTGGCAGCAGCTGCGAGGGTGGAAGGCCAGGCTCTGGACGTGGATCGGCGAATCGTGGCGGCCGAGCTGGACTCTCCTCGCAAGGTGGAGTATTACGCGTCGTGCGCCTCCGGCCAGGGAAGCTGCGATACAAGAGGCCTTCAGCTGCGCACATACATTCCCATTGTCGCAAGAGGCCAAAGGTGCTTCAGGTGTTCGCCACGAGAGAACAGGAACCTTCGCCTGATGGTCTCCACTCTGCAACGTCGCTATCCTCGCTGTTGGCAGATCCTTGTGCTGGCGGCGCAGGACCTGCCCACTCCTTCGGCTCGCGGATGCGCTAGCTAAACGTGTAAGGCACTCTGGGCCCTTCCAATATATTTGATTATTATGTCTACAGAACATATGTCGTAGAAACGATGCAGACATTTTTGTTGACCAAATCCAACTAGTTGTGTGAGATTCAAATAAAAAAACCTATCACGATGTATTTAATTGTATATCATTTCAATTAATATATGTGTGTTGATATATATATGTGTATCTATGTTTATATATGTATAATATATACATATACATGTCTGTATACATACATAAGTTTGAATATATGTATGTATGGGTGTGTGAGAATATACACATGTATACATCTATGTATGCATTCATATATTTATGTATATATGTATATATATCTAAGTATGTATATATGTATATATATTCATGTGCATATATGTATATATATTTATCTATATATATTTATCTTTATATTTATCTATATATATTTATCTATATATTTATCTATATATATTTATCTATATATATTTATCTCTATATTTATCTATATATATTTATCTATATATTTATCTATATATATTTATCTATATATTTATCTATATATATTTATCTATATATTTATCTATATATATTATTTATATATATACATATATATATACATCTATATATATTATCTATATATATTTATCTATATATATTTATCTATATATATTTATCTATATATATGTATGTATATTTATATATATTTATGTATGTATATTTATATATATTCATGTATGCATATTTATATATATTTATGTATATATATGTATAAATATTTATGTATATATATGTATAAATATTTATGTATATATATGTATATCTATATATCTATGCATATATATATCTATATACATCTATATATCTATGTATATGTATGTATATATATGTATATATATTTATGTATATATATTTATATATAAATATTTATATGTATATTTATGGATATCTATCTATCTATCTATCTATCTATCTATCTATCTATCTATCTATCTATCTATCTATCTATCTATCTATCTATCTATCTATCTATCTATATATATATGTATATGTATGTATGTTTATATATATTTATATATATATATATATATATATATATATATATATATGTATATATATTTATGTATATATATATATTTTTGTATATATATATATATATATATATATATGTATGTATGTATGTATGTATAATTATGTATCTAAATGTATATATGTATATATTTAATTGTATATCTTGATTTCAATTAATATATGTGTGTATGTGTTGATATATATATACATATATTTATGTGTATCTATGTTTATATATGTACTATATATACATATACATGTCTATATACATACATAAGTTTGTATATATGTATGTATGGGTGTGAGAATATACACATGTCTACATGTATGTATGCATTAATATATTTATGTATATATGTATATATATCTAAGTATATATATATATGTATATATATGTATTTATATTTATGTATATATATGTATATATATATGTATATGTATGTATGTATATATATTTATGTATACATATATTTATGTATATGTATATATATATACATATAATATATATATATTTATATATATATATATATATATATATATATATGTATGTATGTATGTATATATATTTATGTATATATATATTTATGTATATATATATATATATATAATATATATATATATATATATATATATATATTATGTATGTATGTATATTTATGTATCTAAATGTATATATGTATATATTTAATTGTATATATTAATTTCAATTAATATATGTGTGTGTGTGTATGTTGATATATATGCATATATTTATGTGTATCTATGTTTATATATGTTCTATATATACATATATGTCCTATATACATACATAAGTTTGTAATATGTATGTATGGGTGTGAGAATATACACATGTATACATGTATGTATGCATTAATATATTTATGTATATATGTATATATATCTAAGTATATATATATGTATATATATGTATATATATATATATATATATATATATATATATATTATATATATATATATACTGCTTTGGGTGCAGTTGCGCAATACCTGCTTTGGGCTAGTGCCTTTAATTACAGCCTTGATGTGCGAGTAATTAAAAGCACGACGCACAGTGGCAGCCGATAGTTTCGCTGCGAAGTGTTCGGCCGAACACATAAGGGCTCACGCCCGTTCGGCAGGGTTCCGACCCCGACCGGCCTTCCAAATAGAGACCGTTGGCTACCCTGTGTGCTTCACCGTTTTTTGATACCATTTCCGCCCCTTTCATCGTCCAGTTGAATTAGCTCTGCTAGCCTCCCTCTACCCATCATCCATCACCCTCGCTATGGCGTAACCCTATGGGTCATGTTATCAAATTAGCGTATTCTGGGGAGCCTATCTCTTGCGAGGAGGCTCTCCAGAATATCTTCATTATCACTGAGGTGGCAGTCACACACCTCTTTAAGGTCCACAATGGCTTCAAGGTGACAGTTGCCAAACCCGAACACTTGACCCCATTTCTTTCGGCCGACGACCAAAGAAAGTTAAAAGATCACGGCTTCTCACCTGTTCCCTCCCCCGAGATGAAGGCTAAGTGTACGATCGTGGCGAAAAAGATCGACAAGACGATCCCCCACGATCGTGCGAGTCCATCTGCCAAGAGGTTTCCGTCAAGAACGGTGTCACTGTTCTCGACGTTTACAAGCCACCCGAGTCGCGAATCGTCAAGATTCGCGTCTCATCCCCCGAGGAAGCCCAGAAACTTCTCTCTCGGGGACTCATGATGTTTAATACATCGGTCCCCACCTACAACTTGGAACCCGAATGTTTTATTCACATAGACCAATGCCTTAACTGCTACCGATTTCACCACAAGAAACACCAATGTACACACCCCCAGAGATGCTCTCGGTGCGCCGGCGACGGTCATTTCTTCGCCAGGTGCACTGAAACCATCAAATGCTGCAACTGCGAGGGATCGCATGTCGCAGTTAGTGGATCCTGCCCTAAACGGAAGGAAATACTTAAGGCAAAACGAGCTGAGCTCCGCCAAGACAACAACACTGTACCTTCCTACGCAACAACAGCTGCTACACGACCTGCTCAGACCAGTACACCCAGACGACCCACGACTTCCCTTCGGACAACTCTGCCCACACAACCCCCAACAAGCACCCTCACACCAAACACAAACCCAAAAATCCAAGCCATATTACACGTGTCTCATCGCTGCCAAATACAACGCAAAAAGATTCGCAAACATTGTCCCTATTATGCTCCAGAAAAACGCCTTCCCCAGCATTGTTGTCCCTGAAGAAATCTTTGAAGACGACAACCTATACATCCCTGAGTACGTCACAATAAGCACAGAAACCACAGGAAATGAGGTGACAGACACTCACCCAGAGCCTCATTCTTCCTCACAACACCGACACCTCGTTTTGCAACCTCAGCCACAACGAAGACAAAAAGAAACTGCACAGGCACGCCAAACTACAAATACACTGATCACAAACGCAAACAAACCTCACCACCATCCATGCATACCAAAAAAGACAAGAAGGATCCTCCTGTCCCCCAAGCTCGTCGTCGTAGATTGGATGACACCATTCTTGACGACGACAGTAGCGACTCCGACATCGATGTCGAGAGCTCTCGGCTGGAGCCATGCTCCCTGCCAGGGGACCCCTGGGACAGCGCGGAAGCATCGGGAATTGGTCCGCCGATTCCCAGGACTTCCGCGTCGGTTCACAGGACTCCCTGCCTGACCTCGAGGAGCCGTCGATCGTGCATCGATCGCGGAGCCGCTACAGGGCTCAGGTTACGCCACGCAAGGTACACCCAGGTAGAATGGGTGTACCTTGAGTGACTAACTGACGACCGACCGAGCCGACGCGGGCTCTTCCACCTCGGTGGAGGACCCCGTGCTGGCTAGGTCGATCTAGACGCGCAATCCCACGCACGAGCTACATCTAAACAAAACAAAAACTCTCTCCTTCACACAAACATTCTACTCTCACTAACAACAAACACTAACAAACACAACTCCAGCTTGTTCTGATGGAATAAAGCACTCAGACGGCTCCCTGTAGTGGGTCGTGACCGATCTATTACACGTCTGAACTCCGCGAGGAAGCCTCTCGCTTCCTCCATAACATCCTGTGAGGTGAGTTGGCCTGTAGACAGACCAACAAACTCCGTGCTTGACTCACCACTGGCTGGATGGACTCACCCTCCATCCTTCGTTCCGGCTGGAGATCAGGTTTAGGCCGTGATCTCTTTCTTTGGCATGGGACAGGAAATGCAGTTTTCGGGTTTTGCCGCATCACTTTGAAGCCACCTTCTACTCATTCCTTTCAAATTTCCCCTTCCCCTATCCACTCGTTTTGTTCATTTTTTTTCAGTGTTCAATTTTTCGTGTTCTCTTTCTGTCTGCTTAGTTTTATTGTTGTTTGGTTTTTGTTGTCCTGTACCTTTTTAATCTCACTAATAAAGTAATCTCCCCCAGGTACTGCCCTCTCTTATCCCCGTTTTTAAAATACCTCGTCTCCTGACGCTTGTGACCACCACCTCACCCCTCATCCCTCACTCATACCATATCCCTGCCATGGCGTTGACCCTCATCCTTATCCTTACCCTGACATCCCACTGGTTTCGGTTTCCGACACGTGGCGCTTGCTGCTAGTACTCGTGCCAGGACCACAAATCCTTTAGCGTAAGGGTTTGTGCGAGCCGAGGAAAGAAGCGTCACGGCCAGTGGAGTTAACCCAATCGTGGTGAGGCCGCCCGAGCCGCGCCCCTCCGGAAGACCTGCGGCCGAGGGAGAGAAATCTCCTCTCGACCCGGGCGGGAGTGGCCAGCCTCTGTGTGGCCTCACTCGAGCTTCATCCTGCTTCAGCGGTGATGGTTAGCCGAGGGACAGCTCTGGAGCCACGGTCGAGAGGCCGTGGCTCCGAGCATACCGCAGATGGCGCCAAAAACCTGCTAACTTCTCTCCCCTCCCCCTCAGT